CATGGAGTTGTTACCAAAGAACAAAGATGGGACGGAATGGAGGCTACAGCCCGAAAGCCAGGCCAGCAGTGGCGTTCTTCTCTGTCCCCAAGTAGTGGACTTGAGCCCGCTGAGACCTCGGCAGGAGTCTCCTCCCAGGGCAGGTGGGTGTGCGGGGTGAGCCCTGGAGCGGTTCCAGCTCGGGTAAAGAGAAAGTTACCTTGGGTCCCTTGCACTCCATCTCGGCGGCGGCGCCCCGAGCCCCAGGGGCCCCAGTCAACCCGATGCCCGTGTGTTGTGTGTGTCTAACACCCGGTCCGTGCCGGCCGCCCGCGCCCGCCCGCCGCTGCCCCCAGCTCGAGGAGGACATCGCGGCCAAGGAGAAGTTGCTGCGGGTGTCGGAGGACGAGCGGGACCGGGTGCTGGAGGAGCTGCACAAGGCGGAGGACAGCCTCCTGGCCGCCGAGGAGGCCGCCGCCAAGGTACCCGGGGCGCGCGGCACAGCGTGGCGCACGAATGGCTAACTCTTTCTCTTTCTCTCTCTCTCTCTCCCTGTCTTTCCCTCTGTCTCTCCCGCTGTCCCTGTCCTTCTGGTTCTGTGCACCCACACCCCTCCCCTTCGGGATCACGCTGCCTGCTGCACCCCCCTCCCTCCCCGTACCCCCTGGCCAACTCCCAGCTGGAAGATGAGCTGGTGTCACTGCAAAAGAAACTCAAGGGCACCGAAGATGAACTGGACAAATACTCTGAGGCTCTCAAAGATGCCCAGGAGAAGCTGGAGCTGGCAGAGAAAAAGGCCACCGACGTAAGTGCACGCTCACACTGCTTCCCTCACCTCTTGCCTGCGTGGCCACTCTGTGGTCACCACAGGGCTGGAGAGCAATGGAGGAAGGTTACCTTCTCCTGCTGGACACCTGCACACAGCCCTGCCATGGCCCAGAGCATTGGATGCCGCCTCTGACTGCTACTGCACACATTCATTTACATTTCATCCACTCCTCTCTTCTTCTCCTTTCCTTTACCTCCCTGGGGGTGGAGGTGGGTAGATGAGAGGCTGGGAGAATAGAGCAGCTGAAATTGGACTCTGGAGGTGAACTTCACTTCCTTGGTGGCAGAAAACCCTGAGGTGTCGTCACCAAGGTTTGTGGAGAGAATGCCAGGTTTTCTTCACTTTCTTTCCTTTTGCCCTCTCCAGTGGGTGGGAAGTTCTGGATTTTGGTGGTGGGTCTAGTCAGGGTTCAGAGAACCTGGCCTCTAAATGAAAGAAATGACACAATGGTACTTTTACTTAGAAGGTTGCACTTCATGGTGAGGCACAGAGACACTTTGAGGCTTCCTTTCTCACTAGCGTAAGCCTTAATCCACCCCTTAAGATCTGCCTGGGAAGATGATACTTGCTTGGGTCTGCAGTCTGAAGGCACTAGGTCCAGAAAGTAAGCTGTGAGTTATATATAGCTCAGTGCTTTATATGGTATAGTGAGCTAGCTGCCCCCTGCCCCTCCTGCTGGCCCCGCCCCCACCTGTCAGCCTTTTGACAACCGCCACATAGTTGCAGGGGTGATGCACACAGCTAAGGCCCTCCTAAGCTCTTTGTCCACTGCCCTTTGGAAGCTTTTAAATTGAGGGCTTGCCTCTTCTGCCTCAGAAAGTCAAGCCAAAGGACCAACTTCTTTTCACACCATTGGATTCCATGCTAAAAGCTAATTAAGCCTAGAGGCCCAATTAGAAAAGAATTCCTTGGGAAGTTGGTAACAATTCCAAGAATGCGTGAGCACAGGGAAAGCTATGCCAGCAGTTGAAACACCAAGGGCAACAGCAGAGTTTTTTATATGAAAGTAACATGCAAATAACTGAAGGGTCTCAGGTCTTGAAATTAGTAAAGGCCTTTGTAGCATGAAAGGCTTGAGAAGTATGTCCAGGTGTGCTTTGTAAATGAGAAATCCAGAGAGGACATTTAGAATCTGACAAAAAGAAATTTTCAGTGAAAAGGTTCCTGGAAAGGGGATTTGGGGGAAGCACTGATTTCACTAAAACATTTAAATTATAAACTACCTGGCTTTGGAAAAAGAGCCAAAAACCATATATAACTCTGAGCCTACTTTGTATAATGCAGATCAGATGCCTGCTCTATATATGGCTAAATGAAAGATGCCTGCCTCCCGCAAATTCTCCAGCAGGACGTTTATTTAGCTTTTTCAAAAGAGCTGCTGATAGATCAAGGAAAGATAGTCCTTATAAGGAAAAGAATGCAGAGAATTTGAAAATAGTCCAGTAAGACTGAAGGCAAAAGAGGGAGAAAAAGTTACTACAATTCTTAAAAAAAAAAAAAAAAAAAAAGGATAATAATTATTATAACTATGCAGTGCTAACATGTCTTTATTGAAAAGTCTTGTTGAAGGGAGCACTGGAATGGGGTGGGGCAGAAATGGAAAAGAAGTTATTTAAAGTCAGCTGGTGTGGGAAGCAGCAGGGGAGGGACCTTCTTGGGTCTTGTTTTGCTTATTTTTCCCACTGGGGAACTGCCCCTAAATCTGGCATATATGGTTTTTTGGGTAGTGTATTGATCACATTTCCTTTTAGGACACTTTAGGTTGTCTGGAGTTTGGAGCCCGTAGGAATATTGAAGAAGTTAGTGAAGAAATGCTATACAGTCATTTGTTGATTAACGAAGGGGGATAAAGTCTGAGACGTGTCGTTAGGTGATTTCTTCATTGTGAAAACACCATAGAGTGTATAGTACTTACACAAACCTAGAGGGTATAGCCTACTAAACACCTAGGCTACAAACCTGTACAGCATGTTACTGTACTGAATACTGTCAACAATTGTAAGACAAATCACCAGGCCATAGGAATTTTTTAGCTCTATTATAATCTTATGAGGCTACTCTCATATATGCAGCCCCTCGTTGACCAAAACATCATTATGTGGTGCATGACTGTATTCAGAGTGGTAGTTTTTTATTTATTAAAAAATAGTCAGAACTTGAGGAGGAAGAGACAGATGTCACTAGAAAAAGGGAGAAGTGGGGTGAGGGAGAAGTCAGCTTCCTGAGGTGGAATCATATTACCTTTGGGATTAGGACATTTCACTGTCATTGTTCACCAGCGTAAAACACTTTTACGTTTTTCTACTATTATTACTAAAAACATTTGTCTACTACTTTACTGATGTCCTTTACAAATCCTATTCTGGAAGTGGGCTCTTCCTAGCTTAGAAGATTGACATCCAGGAGTAGTATCCCTGATGGTCTTGTTTCGAATTTTGTGTTGTCCTTCCACCTAAGTCAAAAGTGAGGCTGAAGGGGATCGAAGACTCCATTTTTTTCTGGCCCCCAATCTCTTCCCCAGTAACTGTGATATATCTGATATTTACAGCATGTGAGTCTTTATCCCTTTGTAGGTCTTTACTTCCTAACTTAGGGATTCTCAACCTTCTCTTAACATAATCACTTAGGAAGCTTTTAAAACCCACAGTTAGGATGCACCCAAGGCCAGTTAAATCGGAATCCCTGGAGGTGCAACCCAGGCGGCAGCATTTGAAAAATACCCAAGTGATTCCAACCTGCAGACAAGGGTGAGAAAAGGCTTCTAAACTCTCGCATAATGACATCAGCATGAAAATGAACTCACCTGAAACTGACTTTCCCAGGACATTAAGTCACTAATTGGCTGCTTAGAGCACTTGCCAGTGTCCAGCAGTTTCCTGGCAGCTCCTGGAGGTTCCCAGACACCCGGTTCCCCCATTCTCAATGTTGGAGGCCCACAGTCTCTGCACTTAGGGGACCTCCCCGCCTGACCAGATAAACCACGTGAAAACAAAGCGAGAAGCTCCCACCTACAGGATGCAAGGACCCAAGCTGGGATTTGTGAGAGTCTCAGCAGACGCTATGAGGAACTCCACAGAAAATGAGTCAGGAAAGCAAAAGTTCTTTGTTAGGGCTTGGAGGAGGAGAGGGTTGTCAAGCATGTTTTCTTTATTATTCCCACACATAGGGAGCTGGCTTTAAGAGCTTTCTGTGACAAAGCTGAGGAGAAAAAGCCCTGAGACTTTGAAGGCATTTAAGAATACATCCCAAGGGGGAAATCAGCGGAGATTGTATCTGCAGTGGTTTTCTCCACCTGTAGCCAGAGGCTCTCTCATAGGGTTGTGTGGCTTTCCTTGGGGTGCCTTTTAAAGGCATCCCAGTCCAGCCCAGGATTGATCGGATTCCAGGAGATGGCAGAGGCTGGTCTGACACCAAAGAAGGCTGTAAAGACAAGAGACCCTTTGGATGGCTGTTTTCATGGGAAGTGAGCCCCAGCGAGGTTGGCCTGAGATCACACAGCTGCTTATGGGCCTCAGCCTGACTCTTAAAACAGTGCTTGTGTGTTTCTTAATCGCAGTTATCGTTTGAGTTTATAACTATGTACAAGGTATTGTGCTAAGCGCTTTATGGTCCTTCATAATTCTCATAGCAGCCCCATGGGGAAAGTACTATTATTATTCCCACTTTTACAGATGACGCCCAGAGAAGACAAGTTATTTGTCCGAAGTCACGCAACAGGAAACTAGGCGCCAGATTCAACGTACGAAAACTGCATTTAGAACAGGAGGTCTAACCACTATGCTCTACACGTGGGTGGTTTTCACTTCGTGAAGTTTGGGGGAATGGGGGTAGTGCTGGGGTTGTAATCTTGTGGTTAGGATCAGTCTGTTTGGGATTATAATCTTGTGGTTAGGATCAGTCCCTTTAGGGCATATTCCGGCTCCAGACCCGCAGCTCAGCTTCTCTGGCTCCTGGGCATGGGAATCTGGACTCGGGAGCGGAGCGCTCCCGCGGCCAGCAGGAGTCGCTATTGCCCTTAGCAGCCAGCTCCGTTTCCCCGGGTCACCACGGCGCCGGGGAGGGGCCTTAGAAGTGGAAGCCAGAACCCTCGTGCAGTGGCCTCCCGGAGCGCCCAGCCCACCAGGTACCCCTGCCGCGCTCCGGGCGCGCCTTTCTACCCGCCGCCTCGAGCATGCGCAGTACCCTGGCCGGTCCCGGGATCCGCGGCGCGCACCCCGCCCTGCCGTGCCCGCCCCCGGCGCTCGTGCGCCCGCCTGCGGTTCGTCTGCGCCGCCCTGGAGGCCGCGACTTCCGGACTGCTCCTGGCCGCAGGGGGCGCCGCCGTAGCACAGAGAGGCCTGGGCGGGGCGGACCGGCGCTGGGCAGCCGGGACAGCCGCGGCAGCCGGGTCCGCAGGGCAGCAGCCGGCCTCTCCCATTGCAGCCCGCCCGCCCGCCTACCGGTCCGGCGCGATGGCGGGGAGTAGCTCCCTGGAGGCGGTGCGGAGGAAGATCCGGAGCCTGCAGGAGCAGGCAGACGCCGCAGAGGAGCGCGCGGGCACCCTGCAGCGCGAGCTGGACCACGAGAGGAAGCTGAGGGAGACCGTAAGGGACCCACCCATCACCCCCGCAGACCCCAGAGGTGCATCCTCCCCGGGCAGCCCCGCGGCGCCCAGTAGGGCCCTCCTGCAGGCACCCCCTGCAGGCTCCCGTCCCCCGTCCCCCGTCCCCACGCCTCCAGGGCGCACCTGGCGCACCTGGGCCAGCTGGCGGCGGGCTCCGGGGAGGGGCCCGGCCTGTTCTCAGCCTTGCCTTTCCATCTCGCTGATCTAAAGTAAACGCGCCCAGGGGAAGCAGGGGTGGTGTTGAGAAGGTTCTGGAAGGAGCATTCTCCCAGGAAGGGTGTTTCTGGAGTGGTGGCTTTCGTTCGTGTGTCTGCGTCCCCGGGAGGTGCACTTTGCGCTGCTGGCTTGCTTTACTCTGAGAGTGGAGTGGGAGGAGGTCCTTCCTCTTGGAGATCCGTACCTTTGAGAAGGGGTGCCGACAGGTCAAGTGAGAGAGACACTGTGGACTTGGGGCCCGGGGATGCTGCCCTCCGCCGTCTCCGTCGACCCTGTGGTTTCCCGGAGGCCTGTGTCTCTGAGGTGGTAGAGAGACATTGACAGCTTGACAGCGCCGCGTTCTGCTGGAAGAGCCAATATATAGTACAATACCCTTCACCCTTCCCTTTCTTCAGCAGTCCTCCTTCCCTCTTCTCTCATACAGATAGATAGATAATCCTTTGTTACCAAGTCTTGGAAAAAGTTGGCGAAATATCAACAATTATTGGGTGTATTCTCTTGCGGGCTTCCCCTCCCCCTTGTTAAATGTAATACCTGGCTTCCTTCCTTTCTTCTGAGGCAAATGTATCCAGCAAACAGGAACAGGATTTCAGAGGTAGTCTAGTATTTGATATTTGTGGATTTTTTGGTGTGTGTTTTAATCAAGATACTGAAACAAACACCTTAGGAATGTTATGACAAGCGATAGTATGATGTGTTGCTGTGCTTAATATACGGGGCTGTTCTGAGTTGAGTAAATCGTTCTGGTTAAGTGTTTGTAAATGGCTGTATGGCTGGCCACAGAAACTTCAAGATCTGAAATGGTCCTCTTCAGAGGGAAGCTCAACTAGAGAAAGTTTCAGATAAAATACAAGCAGGAAAAAGGAAATCAATAGGCAAAAGATAATTCTCAGTATTTACTTTATAGGACGAGTCAGCAAAAGTCCTGTGGATATCCCTGAACTTGGCTGGGTGGTAAACTAATTCCGACTCCCTAACTGGCTAGCAGCTGTCCTTGAACCATTTGAACTATATAGAATATGATGGATAAGAACAAGAACTTTGGACCCAGACTGTCAGAATTTGAATCCTGGCTCCACTACTTACTAGCAGTGGGCAATTTTCTTAGCCTCTGTGTTTCACTTCCCTCTGTGTAAAGTGTGGATAGTAACAGCATCTTCCTGTCGGTTAAAGGAGTTGCTATGTACAGACAGTACAGTGGTGCTTGGCGCAACAGGGTAAGTGCTGTGTGCCCACTGTCATTAAAACTGCACAGCCCTGGCAACACAGTGCTCCTTCACCTTCAGTTCCCCACCCAGCAAGGGGTCTTAAAGATGGCTTGCTCATTTTATGACATCATAAAATACTTCATTTACTGCTTTTAGTCAACATTTGTTGGGGTGGGGAGCTTGAACGAAGAGGAAGTGGACAGGCTGGTAGGCATGTTTGATGGGTTGAAGTGGTGTTAGTGGTAGAAGTCTGAGGTCTTCTCACCCTGCTAAGAAAGAGTATGTGTGACCCTATGCGGAAGAGCCTTGTATTGACTCCTGGCCTAGTGATTGATGTTAGACACAAAAGATACATTTTATGAAGGGCACATTATTACTTTTATTTTAATGTGCATCTTTTGCGCATCGTTTTTATAACAGAACTCTTCCTGTGCCAGTCGGCTAAAGATAATTAATACTTTCATTCTTTTCACGGCTTTATATCAAAAGTGGTTTAAGTGGTTTCATTTTAAGTAATTTTTACAAGCAGTCTACCTGGGTGATTGAACACAGAACCTTTTAAGATAGCAACTTGAGGACTGGATCAGACCATTGAAGAGAGACTTTCAGGCTGCAAGTTGTTCCTAACTTCTGAAATTGGAACTGAAGTGTAGCTACCTTAGGTATTTAGATGTAGCTTGGGCTGTGAGTTAAGCTAGCAGTAACAGTTTCTTTTGGCAGCAAAGATAAAGGTTTAGTGACAAAACCATGAGCCACTGCAAAAAATATTTGACCGGAGAGTTGGCCTAAATTCAAATACTCAGACGTTCAGACTGTAGTTAATAGGCCCTGTTAAACCAGCCCTTACCTTGAAAAAAGCAGCCATCCCTTACTTCCTCCTAGTCTGTGTTTCCAAGTTGTGTGGATCCTTCAAAATGTTGGAATAAGGCTATTTTGCTTGACATGATTGACTCCAGATCTTGTGACCAGGGTTTTGTTTGCTTTTTTCATTATTTAAAAAAAAAAAAAAGGCAAGAAGGATCTTCCTTTCTGAGTAGTATCCAGCAAACAAGGAGACAGGGAGTTGTGGCCAGAAGGTTCTTAATTAGTAACATGATTAAATCATGGGAAATAACCAATTTACAAAAATTCCCAGCATTTTCCCTCTCTACACTTGGTAAATATTTCCGGGATAGGAAACCGAGGGTGCATTTTGTGCTTGCATTGGCACTCCCAGAGTGGCTGTAACTGGAATGTACACTCTCGATTTCTGCTTTCATATGTAGGCAAGGCAGAGGCACTACAATGCCTTGTTCATGTCTGTTCTCCCTCATTATACAAATATGCCTCGTAAATTATGGGCTTTGGCACACACACAGGAGGTTGTGTTTATCTGTTATCCATGGGAGTGCCCCTTAATGTCATCAGTGTTTTTCCCCCCTTTCCTCACCATATAAGGGCAGAAGTTTAGCTTGGCTGTGGTCACTTGGTCTTACACAGCAAGTTGGGTGAAACCTTTTTCGTATAACTACAGTTTGCATAAAATAAAAAGGACCTGACCTTTGATCATCCCAGGTTCCACTCCGGTTCAGGCAGGACTTTGGAAACATATTCCAGAGGATTGATTTCTAGAATATAATATTCTCCCACCAGTATTTTTTCTTAATAGCCTTACCTGGAATACTTTTTCAAAAAGTAAAAGTCACTGCCATTGTTAATTTTCTGTGGTTGTATTGGCTAACACATCTGGATTTCATGAAAATCTAAGCCTCGTGAAAGGTTTTGTTTTGTTTTTTTCCAAATCTGATTTGGGATATTACACTATGGTGGGGTGGGCATGCCCTTGATTTCTATATAGTACCATGTTGTGGTGGGGGGAATGAGGTGCATGCCCTTGGGCTGTTACCTTAGAGGAGGGTCATATGCATTATAAGGCACCTCAAGTACGGAGCACCAGGAAGTTATTTAAAAACAGATCTGCAGGAAGACATTGGTAGCTTTGACTAATACAGCAGTCTCTTTTTTGAGCAGTTCATTGTTAGAACACAATAGCACTTTTGAAATAAAAGAAACTATCATCCCAAATTGAAAGACTTCACTGGCAGTCAGCACGTGGGGCTGTTGTTAGAAGAAAGCTAACTCCACTGGGTGCGGTGGCTCGCGCCTGTCATCCCGGCACTTTGGGAGGCCGAGGCGGGTGGATCACCTGAGGTCGGCAGTTCAAGACTAGCCTAGCCAACATGGTGAAATCCCATCTCTACTAAAAATACAACAATTAACTGGGCATGGTGTCACGTGCCTGTAATCCTAGCTACTGGGGAGACTGAGGCAGGAGAATCGCTTGAACCCGGGAGGCGGAGGTTGCGGTGAGCCAAGGTCACGCCACTGCACTCCAGCCTGGGAGACACAGCTAGACTCCATCTCAAAGAAAAAAAAAAGAAGAAGAAGAAGAAAGCTAACTTAGGACACTAAGAGTGATTTACATGCCTAGAAATAATTTGTGTCTGGGGTCTTGACCCTCCCCAAATGCCTTGTTATTTATATCTGCTTTTAAATAACAGATGGTCATGTGTCTATGGGCTTGTACCGGCAGAGGCCACAGCAGGTCCTTAAGAATCCCCAGGTGCCATGATGAAAAGAACCTTAGAAAATATCGAAATAACCTCAAAATTTAGGAAAAAAATACCAGAAATAAAAGCTAGTAAAGGTGAGAGGTGTGGGGCTTTTGGAGCATAGAGCATAATAAATCAGAATAAAAAGTAAAAATAAGAAAGAGAAAAAAGTAGCCCTGATTAAATTATAAAATTAAACATATCTTGAATTCTAACAAACCAAACAAAAATTCTACTAGGCCAGTATAATAGGGCCTGCAGAGCCTGTCATGGGTTCAGGGTTTTCCCATAAAGATAGGTGTGCCTCAGATACTACTCCCAGGTCCTGGCTTTAACCTCGAAGGCCGTCTGCCTGTCCTGCTCTGAAACCTCTGGGGCAGTAGGCATTGACTTCTGGGCTAGGGAGTAAATGTTCCGTGTCCTTATGTTCTGTGTCCTTACGTGAGCTTCCTATTACCCATTAGCCTTGTTTTATGAAGTTTTCAATTTTATATCCTGCCTAATTTCAAAAAGATTGTGATCATCACTTTAGTGGATGATTTGCATTGGCAGCAGCTGTTCTCCTCATCCTGATTAGGGTCTGTCCCTGAGGCCTTTCTCGGGGAGTTGGGATGGGGGCCGGAGAACATCTCAATCTGATGTCGGAAGAGATAAAGACCACAGGAGTGAGAACTGCCAGTTCCAAGGTTTCCATGACGTTCCGGGAAGCCAGGAGAAGTGACAAGTGGAGAGCTGGCATGCCAGGAGCCTGGTGACTTGGATTTTAATCCTGTCTCCCACTGATGACTCTATGGCCTCCGCATACTTCAGTGCCCAGGGTCAGAGCTCCCTCCTGCCGCCTCTTTTCAGTCAAGAGCTAGAAGAATGGCCAGCTTCTTTGGGTGGTGGCAAAGGGGATTGTTTATTTATAGTACAGATTCCTGCCCTCCCCCTTTGACCTCCTGAATCAGAATCCCTAGGGACAGGGCCTGGAAGTTTGATTTTTTTTAATATTTATTTATTTATTTATTTATTTATTTTTGAGGCAGAGTCTTGCTCTGTCACCCAGGCTGGAGTGTTGTGGCGTGATCTCGGCTCACTGCAACCTCTGCTTCCCGGGTTCAAGTGATTCTCCTGCTCAGCCTCCTGAGTAGCTGGGATTACAGGCACGTTCCACCACGTCTGGCTAATTTTTGTGTTTTTAGTAGAGTTTCACCATGTTGGTCAGGCTGGTCTCACACTCTTGACCTCATACCCAGCTGCCTCGGCCTCCCAAAGTGCTGGGATTATAGGCGTGAGCCACAGCGCCCAGCTGAAAGTTTGATTTTTTTTTTTTTTTAATGCTCATCTCTGGGTTGATTCTGACACTCAGTGGGAATTGCTGATGTGGACAATGCCTAGGGATCCTTCTAGCTAAAAAGTTGAGACCCTATTTTTTGGATTTACAGGGCCTCCTCAGGAAGGGGCAGCCACCCTCAGGTCTGCTGTGTGTGCCCTACCATTCCTCTCTCTGTATCACAAACTGGCACCTAGAAATGGGTCTCCATGCCCAGTTGTTGCTGGGGCACCCTGTATGAAGCCCTGCTGGCTGGTATTCCTGTAGGACATATTTTCTGATATCCAGGAGTCTGAGGTTCTACGGAATGACCCTGGGGAAACACAGGAGTGGCATTTAGACAACAGCATTCTGTAAACGCAGTGCCAAGAGCTAAGGGAAAGAATGGGGGTGGGGTTGATCGGAGGGAAGACACGGATGGATTGGTGGGGGCCCTTTGGGTAGGGAGATCTCATGTGCGAGGCTGGAATGAACATGAGGTGCTGCCTCCTTCCTTTCTGGTGACTCAGCTGTGTGGGGAGCTGGGGATAGAGACCTGTCACCCAGAGGGTTCTATCCCCAAAACGTAAACAGTCATCTTTCTGCGAGTACAAAGTCCTTGAGGTTTAGGCCCAGATCTAAAGCAGGGCAGAGAACTTAGAACTTGGTAGCTACAAAATAGTTTTGAAAATCTTGCTGGCATTGCTCTAACAGGCCGTAGCCTCTGTAACAAGGATATTTGCCATCATATTAAAAATAATAAGAAAGGAGGAAAGAAAAGAAAGTGCACAGTGCTTTTGAATACATAACCTAGACATTCTACGGAGGCTTTTTGTTATTGTAGGGCTTTTGGATTGTGTGCTTGGTTTTTTGGTGTGGTTTTTAATTTTGTTTTGTTTTGTTTGCCCTTTGTTTTTGCTTCAGCTTTGAGTTCCCCTCCACCCTCAAAAGGAATAGAATTTTACTGGAAAATGAAAATATAGAAAAGTGAAGAAATCTTAACTGACCCAGAAGTATATCCTTAATATATACATCCTTCCAGTAATAGTAATAAAAAAAATGCCTAATGGTTTTTCAGAGACACTTCTCTATAATTAAGAAATTTGTTATCTTATTATTCTTGCCGTTCAATACACACACACACCAGAAACAACAGTCATCTGCCAGTAATTCCTAGCTGGGCCCATTTACCAGCTGTGCACTGATAATGATTTACTTCGTAGGCAGTACAGTAGTAAAGGCTCTTCCTGTGGTTTATTTCACATTTGCCGTGCTCCCTGCCTCCATCAACCAATTACTACATTTTTGTCAAGATAAAAGTGTATTCACATGTTTTTATAGAGTCCTTCACTGTGGTTGGAGATGACCTACTCACCTGTCTTCTCAGATAAAACTTGGCATTTAAAATCTTACAAATCTAGATGAGCAAAGAGCTGAAGGTTCTCAGATTCCTTTGATTAAAGACTGACCACAGTCTCTAACTACATTTGCATTTCCAACTCTGTATTGTGGATCCATAAGCTAAGAACATTGCTTTTATTAAAATTAGGTTGGTTTTACTTATCTTACTGAGCCCGTACTCTGTGCAGAGAACTGTGAGTTCTCTGGATGCGAGCAGCTTACAGGTCAATGGCAAAGACAGGGCTGTATGTAGAGAAATTTGTTATCCTATTACCATGGGTCTCTAAGTGTGTATTGTAATTTCTAGAAAACTCCTAAGTGTTCTGAAAACCCTACCACCCCTTAGTGAACATACATTCACTGTGGATGAGGATATTGTACCTAATAAATAAATTCTGCCTCCCACTTCCATGCACAATATTTAAACAGCCACCAGTGCAAGTATGTATAATGGACCATCATAGTCTTACAAGTGCTCTGAGACTCATAGCAACAATTTCTTATGACAGGGAAAAAATCATTGCTTCGCAAAGAAACCAACATTTTATTTCAGACATAGATACCAAGTAAAAACAGTACTTGTATTATTTTTCTTTTTAGTAGTTTGATACTTTTCTTGTATTTGACTTCGAAGAAATTTCATAGGCTTACATCAAAAACACTTGGGACATTTGTCTTGGCTCTGTTCCAATGAGGCCAGTTATTCTAAAAGGGGTTACTGGATTGTGTTGGGCCTTCATGTGGTGTGTATCTTAGAACCCCTGAATTTTAAACTATTTGAGTTCCTTCGTAAGGATCCTTTGATAAAGTGGCTAGAAGAAAAGACTTGCGTGAAACTCTTGAGTCCGATTTCTGGCTGCACTGCTATTGTCTTACATGGCTGAGCCTGGGTAAGTCTTGTCTCAGTTCACACTTCAGGCCCCCAGTGAGTGAGGTGGCTGTGATGACGCTCTTGTTTAATAGGCAAGTAAAGCCAGGGTGTTGAAATCTTTGGAAGAAAGGACCCATGTGGAAGAGCATGTGCTAATGATCTGTCTGATGAGAATTGTGTGTATAGATTTGGGTATACACAAATATGGATGTTTACTGTATGAATCAATGTATAAACGTGTCCGAGAACTCCAGAGTTGATGAGGGCTTGTAATGCACTTAAAGGTAGCTCACCACAAGACAGTCTTCCTGTCTGAAATCAGCATTGCAGTCCCAGCCATTTCCTGCAGCTACCACCCTCACTTTCTCCCCAACTCTGAAATGCTTTTCACTCTCTACCTAGGCTGAAGCCGATGTAGCTTCTTTGAACAGACGCATCCAGCTTGTTGAGGAAGAGTTGGATCGTGCCCAGGAGCGTCTGGCAACAGCTTTGCAGAAGCTAGAGGAAGCTGAGAAGGCAGCAGATGAGAGTGAGAGGTGAGAATGCCCCATCAGCCATCTTTTGCAGCTGCCTTTCCTGGTGGAACAAACTGGAGGGCTCCTGTGATCTTTGAGGTTTAAGAATTTTTCAGTCCCCTAGTGGTGGGATCATTTCCTCTATTGATCCCAGGTATAACTCGGTTGGTTTTGTTCATTTAGCATTAGTGAAACACCTACTATGTCCAAAGCACTGTCCTAAGCCCTAAGGTTACAAAGAAGAAGATCTTGTTCCTGCCTTCACAGAGCTCACCATCTAATGAGGCAGACAGATATGAAAAGGAGAAATGTCAGGGATACGAGTTGGCCCTTTCATTCCTACTGACCACAGAGCAGTTGTGCATTTGTTAAAGTATAACTTTATTTTATAATATACCAAGGAGCCTTAGGCCTAAATAAAGGAACTGTGGACTATCAGTTGTCAAATAGCTTAACAAATAGGTGGAAGAAAAAACACAAAGCAGAAATACGGTCTGCAAAAGTGAAATATTTTGGACTTGGTCTCTATACACACAAGACACGTGCACACAAATAGTCAGATGCTCTTGTGTTCTGAGCCCACCTCTGCTGTAATCTGGCTCTAGCTGAATTATGACTCTAAGATTCAGCTTTGTGGTAGTAAAGGAAAGCATGGTTTGTATAGACCAGCACAGCCTTGGGTGGTCTAGAAGGCATTTTCCCTTATGCTCAACTGTTGGAATTAAGGATTTGCCGTATTGCATAGAAGTACTTCAAGAGAGACTCCATGAAGTGAGAGAGCGTTCTGCTGCTTGAGGGATGGCGTAGCATGAATGGCTCAGAACACTGAATGTGTATCTATCTGTGCTGTGACCTGGGCAAGTGAAGGCAGTCAGTCATCTTGTCCATTTCTCACTCTTTGAAGTGACCCTGCCACCAGGTACCAGGTATAAAGAGTGATTTCAGACTTTAGGATTCAAGAAGATTTTTAGCTAAACTTTTTAGGCCATTATCCACTGCTGCTTAGTGTTTCTTCACTAACCAAGCATTTTGGACTTCTTTAAGATGCCTAATCATCTCTTACAGTGTACACATAAGAGCGGTTTTGTGGCTGACTTCTTTCTGAAATATACTTGTTAGCGCGCGCACCTTAAAGGCAGTCTGGTAGTGTTAGACTTCGGAGTAAAGGGGACTTGGGGGTCATTTAGTCCCTTAGTTTTACAAATGAGAAAACTAGGGCTCAGAGACCAGTGTGACTTGCACCAAGGCTCACAGCATATTTGTGGCTAAGCCAAGACTGCGACCCAGATCTCCTCAACTGTATTCCAGTGCTTCATCAAAAGATAGTGGGCCAGATGCGGTGGCTCACACCTGTAATCCGAGCACTTTAGGAGGCCGAGGTGGGCAGATCACTTGAGGCCAGGAGTTCGAGACCAGCCTGGCCAACATGGCATAACCCCTAAATCTACTAAAAAATACAAAACTTAGCCAAGTGTGGTGGTGCACACCTGTAATTCCAGCTACTCGGGAGGCTGAGGCAGAAGAATTGCTTGAACCCAGGAGGTGGAGGTTGCAGCGAGCCAAGATCACGTCACTGCACTCCAACCTGGGTGACAGAGTGAGACTGTCTCAAAAAATAAAAATAAAAAAATAGTGATTCACTTATACTGCCTGCTTAAATTTTGATAAATGAATTCCATGTTACATGACTTGTTATTCCATATATCTGTAAAATATCATAGGTCAGTTAGTATTTTTCTGAAACATAACACCATGCCATAGGAGCCTAATACTCTGTAGAGGACAGTGTCAGGCCTGTCTCCCAGCATTGCTGTCACGAAAGGGTTCCATTACAGGTAAAACTTAATTTGAAGCATTCAGTTGAACCATAGGAAATTGCCATTATTACTTGTCTGAAATGGTCAAATATCAGCATTTTTTGTGGGCCTACTAGTTTATTAAATCTAATATTAAGTCTAATATTTTATTAAGTCTAATATTTTTGCTTATGGTTGGCAGGGTAAGAAGATTCTTTGTAGAAAGAGGTATATAAAGATAAGTTTGATTTTGTTCTAGCTTTGATTCATGTGCAAGCTGAGGCTTCCCACAGGAAAGGCAAGAAATCTCATTATCTTTTTAATAGTAAAGCATATTGGCTTTTCCGGTTTCATGCTGCCAAGATTCAGACAGGATCCTGACATGGTACCTTTTATCATTAATGTTAGATGCCTGATAGTTTGATCGGTACTCAAGGTGAGAGAGTTCATTCACAGTGAATGAACAGAGAGAAATGTGTCTCTTTTTTCCACCTTTAGCTCTGGAAATTGTTGTTTCCTGGTTTGGAAAATAAAAGTAGCTCTGTGCTCTATTTTGGTCTACCACTTACACTAAGCCTCACAGGCCACAGCAGTGCAGTGTCCATTTGGGAAGGTCAGCTCTAAATCTTGGGTTTTCCTGCTTGTCTTTCTTTCCAGAGGCATGAAAGTCATTGAGAGTCGAGCCCAAAAGGATGAAGAAAAAATGGAAATTCAGGAGATCCAACTGAAAGAGGCCAAGCACATTGCTGAAGATGCCGACCGCAAATATGAAGAGGTCAGGTCCTGGGGCCCACAGCCTTGTGGACTTCCAACAGTGGCCTTCAGGAGGCCAGGGAGCAATGCAGAGTCTTGATTCCTCAGTGAGGCCATCTGCTTGGTTGGCAGAAATGGGTGGTTTCGAGAAGCAAAGTTCTTTTGTCTCCAGAAAACAGTTCTCATTTTAATCCTGCTAGGGGATCCCAGGCTTTATCAGGAAGCCGATCAGTGGCACTGGGAAGAAGGACCAAAACTCCTCTCCCCAAACCGCAAAGACCTGGACAGAAGATCTTTGGCCAGAAGGGAGAGTTGGGCCCTGTGTCTTGTGAAAGGAGGCTCTCATGCTGTCATGGTGCAAGTCACTTCTTCCCAGAGTCACCTGGCACATCCAAATTGGGCAACCCAGAGACCACAGACAGTGTCTCAGTGGATTCATGGAGGCCTCTCTCCTCAAGGGTGGTAGAAAACTATTATCAATGCAGATTTTCAGTAGAATTTGCTGCTGGTCATGTTCCCATGAAAACAGCCTCCTGCGATAAGAGGCAATATGATTATTAAGATTTCTGGTTTTTCCTTATTGGATCACATTGTGGCTATCCTGAAACAGCATTGCCCCTCCGTTTTATTATCATTATTACCTTCAGATTACACTATGCTCACAAGTTTTGATCTGCTTCAGAGGCTCCCTTCTTCTCTCTGGTTCTTCCGCTAAATACAAATTTGATTTTGTCAATTATCTCACCAACTTGTCTCATGTTAGTGTCTCTCGTATTCTTCCTCTGCAATAAGGAGGTAGATGTACAGATCAGCCATCAAATTGAAGGAGTTCTTAGGTTTATTTTGTTTTCCTGGCAGCCCCCACCTTTTCAGTATATGTCTCATCCTACTGCCGTTTTTGAGATTGTGAATTTGTATTTTCTCCCTCCTTCCACATTTTGATCTGGCTGCCAGTTCTAGATCAGACTTCCAGTTGAGACTGCCCAATCACAGCTAACCATTCTGAGTCTAAGCAGAAGCCTCTGATCTCCTCTCTGCTCGCACTCCTAATGGAGAGTTACTTCTCTCCGGTCTACCAGAAAGAGGATCATATTGTTTGTAGACAAAACCCTTAGTGCCTGATGGGATCTGATCGCTACCCCCATGCCCTCCTACACAAAACTTGCAAGATCCATGGTGTGTGTGTTGTATTTTCCTGCTGCAGGTGGCCCGTAAGCTGGTCATCATTGAGAGTGACCTGGAACGTGCAGAGGAGCGGGCTGAGCTCTCAGAAGGGTAAGCAGGCCCGGCGCCAGGAGGCCACGAATGGGGTGCTGCAGAGCAGTGACTAAACAGCATGACCTTCTGGCAGCTGCACATTACCTGTTTCAGCTCCGGGCTCCTTTTGTGCTCATTTGATGTGGATGAGCCACGAGTATGGAACATGGAGGACTCGTGTGGGGTGTCTATGTATGAATGCGTGTATCACTGCATGCCTTACCTGCACACTGATTTTGTGAATGGCCTTGTGCATTTCCTGTGTCCACTAACAGCCAAGTCCGACAGCTGGAAGAACAATTAAGAATAATGGATCAGACCTTGAAAGCATTAATGGCTGCAGAGGATAAGGTACTGATGGCTCATGTGTGGTTTTTAGGTTTAACTGCAACCCAGACGTCTTTCAGCTTCCAATGCCTACTGGTTCGTTTGGTATAACGACTGCACCTTCACTTCACCCTCTGCTATTTATATCTTGCTTTAAGTGCTTTCCCTTGGTCCTTTATGCTCCTTTGTTTTCCCTTCATAAATGCTCTTTGGGCAGCCAAAAAAGGAGCCAAATTATTGCACTTCAAAGTTGTTGGATTTTGTCACCCTGCCTTCTGCTGTTGCGAGGTTGGGGGGCAGTGTTCCTGGCAAAAGTAAACATTTTAATACCCGATGATTTGGCTACTTTCAGGCAGCCCTTCGTCTCTAGGACTTGGTTTTCATTTTTTCCCATCCCTCTCCTTTTTCTCTCCTCCTTCCTTTGGCTTGTCTCCCACCCTTTCTGCCTCTGATCGAAAACGTTAGCAAATGTGCCGAGCTTGAAGAAGAATTGAAAACTGTGACGAACAACTTGAAGTCACTGGAGGCTCAGGCTGAGAAGGTAGGCCAGGAGCATGGTGTGGGGGAAAGGCATCTTTTAAGAGGTGCTCCAAAGAGGCCCTGCCAGTGAAAGCAACACATACAGTAGACATTTTAGTAAATGGCAATATTGTAAGGTGATTTTTGGAGAGTTACTAGGTAACAAATTCTTTTTATTAGCTAGAGAATTTATTTTATCTTAGGGATATGAGTCATCAATTTAATTTAAACCAACTGCCAAGTGGATAAGTTATCTTGTTGTTATCCCATGTAAAACAATAGGCAGGAAAGCAGAGAATGTATTGCAGTGTGCCATTCGATATCAGAGGTTCCATTACCTCCTAAGAGATCCTTAACATCTGTTGGCTGGGCTGGCGAGTTCTTTGCATGAGAAGCCATGAGTAGATTGAGCTGCAGCCTGACATCTGGAATGCTCTTTCTAATTACAGTACTCGCAGAAGGAAGACAAATATGAGGAAGAGATCAAGGTCCTTTCCGACAAGCTGAAGGAGGTAATATGAGAGTTGTGGATGAAGCCAACTGGATTTTAAATGAGTTTGTTTTCATGGAACTGGTCAGGGCCTTTTCATTTTAAAGTTCTAGTGATCCAAGTCAGGAATATTCTAAGGTTGCCTTGGAGTGTGTGTACAGTGCTAGCTGCTATTCTCACAGAGGTGACTGAAACTGACAAGTAGTTTCAGATCCACTTTATGGGTGATGTGCTTCATTTACATCCTCTAGCTTCCCTATGTTTGTAGCTGCGGAAAACACAAAACTTCCCAACTTTAACTCAAATAAATCATTACAGGCTGAGACTCGGGCTGAGTTTGCGGAGAGGTCAGTAACTAAATTGGAGAAAAGCATTGATGACTTAGAAGGTAAGATCTTAAGTAGTGTTTTTAGTTTAATCCTTCTGGTTAAATAGTGATGTGGCAAAACAATTTTCCAATTCAAGGGCATCCACCTTGATACGCTCCTTTGCACTTGCACATTCTTCCTGTCTGTCCTCTGGGGTTTTCCTCTGTGGCTCTTAAACTCATGAACCTGAGTCTTCTGCTCACCAGGTGACTAGTTAGCTACCAGCCATAGTGGCAGATGCCATCCAGCTTGACTTCATGCTCATTAGAAGTGTGGCAGGTTTATTTTTCACTGTGAGTGAAGTGCTTATAGGTGAGAATGACTCAGTATATTTTATATCTTTAGTGTTACTTCCTAATTAAATTGGGAATGATGTGGTAATTGTGGACTTGTTTTTAGAAGAACCCATCTTCTTCCAAGTATGAATTCAAAGTAAGGATTTGGGGTTTTTTTTAAGTCATGTATTATCTTATCAAACTACTTTATATTCTGAAGGAGGAGGAAAAATTATACTTAAGCATTTCTCCCCTAAGGCACTTAGGTCTTATTTTAGTAATAACCACTCTAGCTCACGGATATCCTAAATGTTGAGCTTTGAGGTTTGTGAAGGATTAGCTGTGAACAAGAAAGAAAAAAGACAAACAAATGTATACATCACAGAAGGGATTAGAGAAGGAACTAGTGTTTGGTACAGATAATCAAAATAGTGGAGAAGAGAGAATGACAAATGGTTGCAAAATGATCTGCCAAAGTGCAGCAAAGTATGAAACCTGCAGCATTACAAAACTAAATTGCAGACTTGCCATACCACTGCCATATAAAGTGTGGCGCTCATTGCTTTTCAAGCGTCCTGGACCGGTAATAGGCAGCTTGAGTGGGAAGACCACAGGAGTAGCTTAAATGACACTAAGAAATCGCTATCCCAGTGGTCTAGTGTGGTCAGGAAGTCAGTGGTTTGAAGGTGGAGCCAGATAAGGACTACAGGCTGTAGTTACAAATTGTTCTTCCAAAACACTGCCGTTGGATTTTTTTTTCCCCATTGTTTATAGCTGCAGATGGCTGACTACTCCAGTGTAATTAAAATATAGCTCTGCAAAAGAAAGATGTTCCATTAGCCCCTGTGTCCCCTCACCAGGAGATAGCCTTCTGTGGTTTCGTTTAGGATTTAACATGGTTTACTGATACGCCTACCATATTTGTTATGATTTTCGTATTGAGTCTTTCTTGTTTTATTTTCTAATGGGTTTTGTTCTCTTTGTTTTTGTTTCAATTTATTTAAAACAAAACGCACGCCTCCTGCATTGGCCACCTGCTGCGGCACCAACCCCTTCATGCATTGCCCTTTTCTTGCTGCTGTGTTGGGATGGTGCATGCACCACCCTCACTCACCTTCCATCTCTTGATCACTCTCCATGTTCTTGCACCTCTGCCTTCCACTTCCTGGTCATAGACGAGCTGTACGCTCAGAAACTGAAGTACAAAGCCATCAGCGAGGAGCTGGACCACGCTCTCAACGATATGACTTCCATGTAAACGTGCATCCACTCTGCCTGCTTACACCCTGCCCTCATGCTAATGTAATAAACTCACCACCATCCCTGCCTTGCTCCCTGATCTCCATCTTTGCACTCTTGTGTTCACCCTTTTTGTCATAACCTAGAATAGTTATTGTTTTTTCACTTTCTACTAATATAAAGGCCAACTAGATTAAGTGTCTATACAAACCGTTTTCTTTTCAGAATCTTTTTATTTTGTAAGTGCTAAACTAGAGCAGTGAACTAGAATGAGTGACCTTGAACACTATCCTTTTGGAAAATTAAGCTAAACTCAAGTAAAACTAGACGGCCATGCCATTTGTTGTACAGGAACGTCTCAAGAAATATCAAAACTTTGTTTCCTGACATTCAACTAAGTACAACATAATCATTTTCATAAAATAAATAGAAATTGAAGGAACCCTTAAAGTGTCAGGTTATTGAGAATCTGAGGACAAGGAAATTGGCATGATCCAATACAGCCCTAACAGTGGTACTATAAGAGATCATCTCTTTTAAGAATTCTAGAGTAGACCAGGCACAGTGGCTCACGCCTGTAATCCCAGCACTTTGGGAGACCGAGGCGGGCGGATCACGAGGTCAGGAGATTGAGACCATCCTGGCTAACATGGTAAAACCCCATCTCTACTAAAAATACAAAAAAAATTAGCCGGGTGTGGTGGCAGGCGCCTGTAGTCCCAGCTACTCAGGAGGCTGAGGCAGGAGAATGGCGTGAACCCAGGAGGCGGAGCTTTCACTGAGCCGAGATCATGCCACTGCACTCCAGCCAGGGTGACAGAGCCAGACTCTGTCTCAAAAAAAAAAAAAAAAAAAGCAAAGAATTCTAGAGTAAAAAGAACCCTCTGCTGAGTAACCAAGCCTTTAATTTTCTGTTTTCATGAAAAGAATTAAAATACCCACGATAAATACCGCAATCTGTGTCAAAGAAATGGGAAATTCAACACAGATTGTACAATGTGAGCTTGGGAGTTAATGGCCTAGATTTTACTGTTAGGCAGTAAGAGTTGGAGTAGGTAGTCTTGTTATCATGAGAAGAACCTTCAACAGATACAACTAATTTACGTATTACTAACCAAACTTCAATATTAAACTTTTCCTACTGCTTTAAATTCTAACCTGGAATGTTTCAGAGTTCTTCATTCTAATATCACCCTAAATTCCACTGAAGCTGGAAATGTCATTTTCCAAGCCCACCTGTCATTCATTTACCCATGCAGGAAAAATGGTAACTTGAAGAGTATGGCATGTGCCTGTGGCCTTAGAGGTTATAGAATCCCCACACTCAACAAAAGAGCCCCTAGAGACATGACTGTTGCCATGGAAACCAGAGAACAGTCTATCTTCTCATCCCTCATTTGTAAATGAGGGGGTGGAGCCGATCATCTGTCTCTAAGGTCTTTTCCAGTACTAAAATGTGGTGATTCTTTGGGAAAAACTTTTTGCATCAAGTATGATTAAATATTCTGAAAGACGAGTGTAGCTTAAAATTTGTTTTTAAATTCTGTTCATGGGTTTTCTTAAAATGGACCCTTGCTGAAAGGCGGCCTGTGACAGCCTCAGGTGGGACGACCTTCCAAGGGTGTGGCTGGCAGTGGGTTTTGCATGACTGTCTTCTTGTCTGTGTTTCAGGTGCTGTCATCTATTGGTTTGGTTTTCTTTTTTCTTTTTTTTTTTTTTTTTCTCATTGCGCCACTTTTTTTTTCTTCCCACCTTTTTATCTTCACGCAGATAAGTTTCTTTGCTTCACTTCTCCCAAGACTCCCTCGTCGAGCTGGATGTCCCACCTCTCTGAGCTCTGCATTTGTCTTTTCTCCAGCTGACCCTGGTTCTCTCTCTTAGCATCCTGCCTTAGAGCCAGGCACACACTGTGCTTTCTATTGTACAGAAGCTCTTCGTTTCAGTGTCAAATAAACACTGTGTAAGCTATTTCTGTTTGCTATTCTTTTTACTTCTTATTTATTGACATTTTAGTTTCAGCATTGAATAAAACTACAAAGCTGCCTCACACATATGAGGGTTAGTGTTTGGCTGCTGCTTTCTTTTTCTTTTTAAATTCTGAATACTATACAGAATTATATCAGGAGTTTCTGAAGGAGTGGTTCCTTGTTGAACTTTAAAAAAATACCCAGGCCTGCATCCCTCTGTTTTTCAAAGGTTAGAATGAGGTCTGGACATCTGTGGGGGTTTTGGGGGAATTGTGATGGCTCTGCTTTGGAGTCTGGGACACACAGGGGACATTGCTTGTTGAGAGTTGAAAGGTCTGGCTTGATCAGTGTCTTCCTTTGCTGGAGGTTTAGCTCAGGATGTAGTGACCCCTCTATGTTGATGTTTCGGTGGCCCCGCTTAGGAGGACCTGGCTAACTAATCAAAGGCTCATGATGAATGGTTCCGTAGCTGTCCCATATTACCAGGAAGTTATACATTGAGAAGGGTGAAACAGAATTTGGATTCAAACAATGTAAGTTTTGGTTATTGTCGATCATCCTTTTATAGCACAAAGAAAAGTTCAAGCTTTTTTGAAGTATATTCATGACTCAGCCACTTTTATTTTGATCATGAAAATGACACCTTAGGTTTTCTAAATATGATTACTCTGGTCAGTCATGATTTGTGATTTTTAGCACATACTCTTTTGGAGGGATTGTTCATAATCTTTGTGTTCAATGGCTGTGTTTTCATTTGTGGACATTTTTAAAATACAGCAATGAAAGTTTCTTTTTTTTCTTCCCAAAAAGATAGTTGGTGGAAATTGTTCAGAAGACAATTGTATTTCATTTGGGCTTCTGTTTTATTTCACAAACAGCAATTAACTGTTTTTTTTTAAAAAATACATTGTAAAAATTAGAACTTTAACTTATATGGACTTTAGTGTCATAATCCCCAACATTTCTCCTTCCTCAACAATCTAGCTATATATTTCTCCTGGTTTTCTTTTTTAACATGGATGATCTGCATGTTTCGTATATAGTTTTTGTAGCCCGAGAGGGCTGATACACCACCATACTGAAATAAATTTGGACAAACTTAGAAGATAGTGTCATTCTCACTCTAAAGAGACTTCAAAGCATAGCGGAAATACTTTTTTAAAAGAAAGCTGAGAATTAAAGTATTGTGGTCGTAGTATGGTGGACTTTTAGAATCTGGACAGTGTCTCTCCCTTGAGTGTATAAAGACTTCTATGATTTCATGTTTTTCTTTTCTTAAGGCTCCTTGGGCCTGCTTCTATGATTCCTTCCTTGTTCTTTTTTAAATTCAGAATAAGAGAAGAGTACCCTTCTTTGAGTAAATCCTGCTTCCTGACGTAGACAAAATGCCAAGTCTGAAAGTTCTGCTGAGCAGATGTTCATGTAATTCTGGAGGCACATCAGTTTTTTGGAAATCCTTCCAGAGACTTTCACACTTTTTATCAGTACACTCTACAAGGGGAAGTGGGGCACTAATGGACTGGGAGGGCAGGTCAGGAGTAGCCCAAGGTGTGCACGTGCAAGAGGCAAACAGCAAGTCAAGTTTATCAAGAAATCGTTGGAGCCCAGGCTTCTGGTTCAAAGGGCCAGGTCATAGCTACAGCTGCTCCAGTGGAGGCCAAACCAAAAGCATCACTGAGTTTGGGCACTTGAAGCTTCAGACAGCTGGGAGTCTCCATAGAATGGGAGGGAAAACACTTCCAAGGATATGAGCATGTCTTGTGCCTGCCTTTCGGCCACCCACGCACACCAGCTCCACAGCAGCTAAAGCAGAGCAGGTCCAGAGGAGGCTGTCGGAGGGACCGCTGTCCTTCCTGCTGAGTTCACACTGACCCTCTGGATTCTCCAGATTTTCGCCAAAGTTCTTCCATTCTAGCCTGGCCAAACATTTGGGCTCAGCAAACTGAGACACGCTCCCTACCCATGGCGACAGTTCCCTGTGTCCGTAGTGTGAATGTAGTCATGGGATTTATGTCTTGCAACCCCCAAGCATATGTCACTTGCAAAACACCGTGGGAAGCAGTGGGGGTGTGTAAAGAGATGGGCTGGAAAGGCTCTTTGCCCTCAATGAGCTGGCCATCTGGTGGGGAGATAGAGGAGTGAAGCGAGTCCGAACTCATAGGCATGTGCATTTGGAGCGAACAAGGAAGAGAGAACTATTCTGACTGGGAGCTCCCTGGAGGAGGTAGCCGACATTTGACCGGGGTTTTGTGTATTCAGAAAATGTGGATGAGTGAGGAGGACAGAGCAGCAGATATTCCAAGCGAGAAAACATAACGAGCATAGCATCCTCCCATGTCTTACCGTTTATGAGAGAATGTTAATGTGAGAACTGCTCAATCTCCCGACAGACCTGGGGGCTGCGGGCCCATTTTCCCCAGGGGTAGGACTGTTAGCTTTTCAAGATCATGAAGTATTTCTAGGTCCAAGTTGTCGCCAGTATTCAAAGCCACCCTGCGTCCTCCGGCTGTTGCCAGTGCATAGCAGGCTCTTGCTTGTCATAGCGTGGGTGACCCCTGGATCGTCAGATACAGACACTCCTGCAGTTGTTTTCCCCCAGAAGCAGATCACGTGTCGGTGTGTAAAATGTATATCACGCTGGTCTTCATGTAGGTGTTGCAAGTTCTGTTCATTTTATACACATCCATTAGCACCACACATGAATGCCATCCTCTTCAAGAAGTAAGCAGATAGGGCCGGGCGGGGCGGTGGGTCACGCCTATAATCCCAGCACTTTGGGAGGCTGAGGCGGGTGGATCACGAGGTCAGGAGATCGAGATCATCCTGGCTAACACGGTGAAACCCCGTTTCTACTAAAAAATACAAAAAAAATTAGCCGGGCGAGGTGGTCAGCGCCTGCAGTCCCAGCTACTAGGGAGGCTGAGGCAGGAGAATGGCATGAACCTGGGAGCCGAGGTTGCACCACTGCATCCAGTCCGGGTGACAGAGCGAGACTCTGTCTCAAAAAAAAAAAAAAAAAAGTAAGCAGATAAATTCTAAATCAGTGTTGAGTGGTGACAAGTGCTTGTTCTTTTGCTGTTTGAATAGATAAACTATCAAAGCTAGATGAGAGTCAGAATGTGTACCCTGTATCGTGGTGACTGGGGGAAGGACAGGGACTTAATTCCAAATTTCAAAAAATTTCAGTGCAGCAAAAGCAGTAACCCCCAGTTGGTACTACCTGAGGGGAAAGCCTGCCCTGTGAACGGAGAGGAAAGGGGTTCTGGAAGAGGTGGGCAGCACTGGGCAGGTCGAGGTTTCACCTAAGTTCAACACAGCCCTAGCAAGGGGTGGATGTCGCACTGGGCTCACCTCCAGCCAGGCCTCCATTCCCAAATCTGTTGCCAGCTCACAAAGTGTATGGCTCAGCTCACAAAGTAAGCTCATGTATGGCTCAGTTCACAAAGTGGTTTAGTGAGGTATAAGAGGAACGTGCACTCTTCCTCCTCGTCTTATCATGTTGCTCCTCCTCCCCTCCTTTCCCCACCAAGAGAGAAATTCTGACCCTTCCTAAGTCTACCAAGCTTTTTAGGATCTACCCTTCCTGGATACAGGACAGGTGACTATGGGGTAAGAGTAAACTGCTCAGCAGGTGACCAGTTGCTGTCCTGCTTGAGGTCTCTGTTCTCTGTTAACTGCCTCTCACCCAGTCTGCTAACCTCTCTTCCTTCCGCCTCTTTTCTGCTAACCTGCTTGCTGACCTGTACAGATCAACTCTACCAGCAACTTGAGCAAAACCGCCGCCTCACTAATGAACTAAAGCTGGCTCTGAATGAGGATTAAACTTAAGAGTGAAAAAACTTGGGCTGAATTCTAGGAGTGGAGCCCATGTGCAGAAAATCTAAGACTGTCCTACCTTCAACTAATAGAGTTGAAAACAGTTGCTTTCTGCAGAAATGCAAATACAAGGAATTGGCTGAAAGGCTGGCCTTGCCTGCATTTTTCTCTATATGGCTGGAATAATTATGTTCTCTTTAATCACAAAACAGCTTTTATGGTAAAATACTTATGTCAATTCAGCACTGCTCTTTGAAATAGCAGGTCCTTTTGTTTGAACTGATAAATAATGAGGAGCTCCCCCCCAAAAAAAATGTTTTCTATTTCCCAACAGCCATGAGTCCTACTTTAAGTATACATATATATGTGTGTATATATATTCCTATTAGATATTCACATTCCTAACTTCTAAATATATGGCATAGTGTTTGAAATATGATTAAATGTTCCTATGCTTGGGCAAAATAGCTTTTGAAAACAGGAACTCATGCCAGAAGCTCCTGGTTGTCTGAAAGGTATGCTTTACTCAGTCTGATGGTGCTGTTGGAGTCTGGGGAGAATGTCATGCTAATACATAGAACACTATAAAAATATTAAGAGAATGTCCTAATGAAGTGTGCATGAAACATGTTGATAATTTTTTATGAGCAACAGAAATAAATCATTTTAAAAGTTCTCAGAAAACCTATTTATGTCATCTTTGTTTTTGTGAGTTTGTGTTACCGCACAACTCCTAGACTTTTAACTGCCTGTACCTCCGAAATGTCTGCCGTTTGTAACTTCTTCAGTCTGTATAACAGTGCTGCAGCTGTATTTGGTTTTTTATCTCTCCCTGTTCCCACGGCACACAGTCAGTGAACCTTCAGCAAACCCCATGTGCATTTTATCCTCAGTGCATTGTTGGTGGAGGTGCACCTGACTGCTCTATGAGAATCCGTGCCATGGCTCCTTTGGGTCAAAGACGTCCTCCCCCCATCTTAGGTTCTTGTCTAGAAATGAGTAATGTCTTACAAGCATGCCTAGTTCTAATCATCTCATCCTGTGTTTGTGATTGATGTTTGCCTGCCTAAATGTACAAACCACCATTATGTCCAAAGCACAGCTATTCATGACTTAATTTTCTAATCCCACCACAGAGAAAGTGGCTCATGCCAAAGAAGAAAACCTTAGTATGCATCAGATGCTGGATCAGACTTTACTGGAGTTAAACAACATGTGAAAACCTCCTTAGCTGCGACCACATTCTTTCATTTTGTTTTTGTTTTGTTTTGTTTTTAAACACCTGCTTACCCCTTAAATGCATTTTTATTTACTTTTACCACTGTCACAGAAACATCCACGAAATACCAGCTAGGTCAGGGGGTGGAGAAAACACACACAAAAAGGCAAGCCCATGTCAGGGCGATCCTGGTTTAAATGTGCCATTTCCCGGGTTGATGTTGCCACACTTTGTAGAGAGTTTAGCAACACGGTATGCTTAGTCAGTGTAGGAATCCTCACTAAAGCAGAAGAAGTTCCATTCAAAGTGCCAATGATAGAGTCAACAGGAAGATGAATGTTGGAAACACAATCAGGTGTGGATTGGTGCTACTTTAAACAAAAGGTCCCCGTGTGGTCCTTTGTTCAACATTGTACAATGTAGAACTCTGTCCAACACTAATTTATTTTGTCTTGAGTTTTACTACAAGATGAGACTATGGATCCCGCATGCCTGAATTCACTAAAGCCAAGGGTCTGTAAGCCACGCTGCTCTTCCGAGACTTCCATTCCTTTCTGATTGGCACACGTGCAGCTCATGACAATCTGTAGGATAACAATCAATGTGGATTTCCACTGTTTTCAGTTCTTCATGTTAAAGTGAAAGATTTAGACACTACATCCAGTTGGTAAAGGACATTTTCTTGAGAGTTATAACTATATGTAAACATTGTATAATGACATGGAATAAAATGCACATTGTAGGACATTTTCTAAATTTGGTGGTCCTGTCGTTTGTATGTTCTTCATTTGTGAACTTTTGATCATGCCACTGACCTGCCTTCCGCCACAAATAGGTTCTCAAAACGATATCCCAGAGTCCAGGGGAAACGGGGTTTCATGTGTTACCTTCTCAGAAACACTAAAGGCAGCGTTATTTTGGTCTGTTAAAGTTATAACCAAGCAGGAGAGGCCCTTTCCAAACGTCATTTTCAATGTTATTGGTGTATATCTGTACATCCATGTAGGACTTTGGCAGTGGCTTTACTGGTTTGGGGATTTTTCTTCCTGACATATTAGCTAAATCTCTAGCAGTGGCATAGCCACACAAGAACCAAGGATGGGTTAATGTGCCAGATCTGCTGTTGTCCCCCAGCAATGTGATTTGACTGAAACTAGTGCTTTAGCGAGCCTTTATGACCTTATGCTTCCCAACTCCTGTGAGTTCTCAATTCCAAGACGTCTCCATTTTCTCAGACTTGGAAACTAAAAATGTCATCAGTCATTTCCCTAGCTCTTGAAGACTCTAAGCAAATAAAAATAGATTACAAACAATATACTGGCTTCAACTGTGCTGCAGGGAGAAAAAAGGATGTTCTCACCAAAAGCAAACAGAATGGAAATAAATGAAAACTCATCTGGATGCAGATATATTTTCATTCAAAAGTATTAAATATCTCTGTAACTGTACTTCCATGCCCCTTAATCAGGCATCTCTTCTCCACAGAAAGACAAAGGCTGTAAGGCAAAGAATCCAAGCAGGGTCCCGGAGCCTGGTTTTAGGTCTCCTTCCAAAAAGCTGTCCCCTCGCTCATGGCAAATAAATGCCCTGGTCTCAACCCTCCTACAGTTTCAGCACCCCTAGCCTCCCCTCTGCCAATCCTCAGCTAGGAGAAACCCTCTCTGCATCACTCTAGTCATGGAAGCCTTTCCTAAACCTGGCCTCTTTCACTTGGGAGCCAGATCTGGCTTCAAATCAGGACTCCACCTTTATTAGGCTGCCTAACCTGTCGAGTTCCTAAATCTGAGCTGCTCCATCTTTAAAATGGAGATGAGATTAGCACCTAGCTCATAGTTTATAATTGTGGGAGTCGAATCTGTAACCACTTCAAGTACACGGTACAGTACCAGGCGCCTAGGGCTTGTTCCATGTAAGTTAACTGCTCGGCCAGGCATGGTGGCTCATGCCTGTAATCCCAGCACTTTGGGAGGCTGAGGCAGGTGGATCACTTGAGGTCAGGAGTTCGAATGAGACCAGCATGGCCAACATGGCAAAACCCCGTCTCTACTATAAAGTTACAAAAATTGGGCCGGGCACGGTGGCTCACGTCTGTAATCCCAGCACTTTGGAGGTCGAGGCGGGTGGATCACGAGGTCAGGAGATCGAGACCATCCCATCCCGGCTCACAGTGAAACCCCGTCTCTACTAAAAATACAAAAAACTAGCCGGGCGTGGTGGCGGGCGCCTGTAGTCCCAGCTACTCGGGAGGCTGAGGCAGGAGAATGGCGTGAACCCAGGAGGCGGAGCTTGCAGTGAGCTGAGATCGTGCCACTGCACTCCAGCCTGGGCGACAAAGCGAGGCTCCGTCTCGAAAAAAAAAAAGTTACAAAAATTAGCCAGGCGTAGTGGTATGCACTTATAATCCAGCTACTCAGGAGGCTGAGGCAGGAGAACCGCTTGAACCCAGGAGGCGAAGGTTGCAGTGAGCCAAGATCGTGCCACTGCCTGGATGACAGAGTGAGGCTCCATCTCGAAAAACAAAAAGTTAACTGCTGTGGTCCTCAACTTGCCATTTGTGCTCCAAAGACCACCCATCCTTGTGAAGCTAAGGGGAGACTAACATTACCCCAAGTTATGATGATGGTTTTTAATACTTTCAGATGCTGTTTATGTGTG